TGGACTAATACCAACGCAACTTATTGTCGTCCAATTCGTTCAATAGATTTCTTCAAAGGCGGTCGATTTTATCGGTCCAACTGCTTTTTTCTCAGTGTGACAAATGAGATCGCGAGGGAAGCACTCTCTTAATGGCATCGAAACGCTTTCGCAACACGCGGATTGGAAGGTAACGAAATGTCATTCGCAAAGGTCGCACCGCCCGGGATCGACACGCATGGCTCCAAGGTCGACGCACAGGAGCATAAAGTTGATCACTTTCACCGTCCATTTTCGAGCGGGAACTCTGAGCTTTGATCACGGCGCATCGTCAAAAGCACGTCGAAAAGTAGATAATCGGCCGTCCCGCCAGTATAATTCGTAATCCGTCGGAGGGGTGAATTCGCCGCGGCGAATGGGACGGCGATTTGCAGCAGTAATCGTTGATTGCGCGACTCGATGAATCGTTATTCAAATCCGCGTGACACGGCACCGTGGGAGACCGTGGCGGACTGGAAATGGGCCCGGGGGACCGCGTGTTACCGCGAGCGAGCGAGAGCTCACGGATGCCAATTTTCCGATCATTTCACGCGCTGTTTATTATTTCAGCACAATCTAAAATTTAATAATAAAGCGCGCCGAACGATTTGCAACGCGAAGGCGTTGTTTTCGGAACTATCCGTCGCCGGAAACACACCGTAAGCTCCGCGTGGAGCTTACGGAATGAAAAAAATCTTGTATATTTTACGCAATATCGATAGTGATACTCGTGCGAGTAGAGAAGACCTTACTCTAAATGGCTCCGTTGCGCTTCTTCTTTTACTATTTATCTTGAGAGGAACAGTGGATATGTACACAGAATCGCGAAATGGTCCTCTTAGAATATGGATACTTTCTCCCCGAGTTTCATTAAAATCGCAACAATATTGTAAAAAAAAGAAAACCTAGTAGAAGCAAAGTATATTTCCTATTGATATTCTCCATCATGAATGAATCAAGCGACACGTTAGTAGCTAGAATGTTTCTTGCAAGTAGTCACAATATACATTATTTCGGACAATAAAAGCAATTTTCGTTCATAAAATGACTGAAATTGAGCGGGCGGAAGCGAGGTAAAGTTGTCCCATAATTATGGACACAGCGCGCGAAATGATTGGAAAATTGGCATCTCGACAAGAGAGAATTTTGACCTTTTTACCCTGCGCCATACTGAGCAATCGAATCGAGATGGCCACTGCATGTTTCTGTCATGGTTTCTATCATGGTTATCACAAAACAAAATATTATATACGGTCAACAGGATGTCCGTGACGGATATTAACACACAGAAGAAGGCTTTGTACAGTTCAGTCGCAACAATCAGTCGTCTGAGGAGTCTTAACTTTGAAATTTGGAAATTTGAGACACCTAGCCCCGCGGTTGATTCCTGACAAGTATTTTTCAGTTAGATTGTTACACGGGAATTGTTACACAAGTATTTTTCAGTTAGATTGTTACGGGAATTCTCTGATAGTTGGACACACACAATTGCGTTTTCATGTATCTTCGTATCGTCAAAAAGTAACAAGATATGTTGAATTAACGCACGGATAAGATATGATACAAACATTTCTACACCGATCGACTTCAACACAAAATGTTTTTCACCACGCAGCTCAGGTATATTTCTTTTCTTTTATCTCTGACGTTTGTACAGTCGTTATTTTCAGTTTAACACGATTACATTGAGAATTAAGAGCTTTATATATATATATATATATATATATATATGTGTGTGTGTGTGTGTGTGTGTGTGTGTGTGTGTACACGAAACACAAGACAAAGCGGACCTAGTAAAGTCTTCGTCAATTTTGAGACCAGTTGGCCTTCTATTGAATTGTCGATACCGGTTTCACAACAGGTTCTCGCCTTCTCTGATTCAGAACTTGGCCGATATATCAGAATATTCATCACGTTACCACGTGTTCGTCACGTCGAGAGCCGATGATTTCGCATGCAAAGACCGCGCTAATTGTAAGACTTGGTTACTGTGTGTAATCTCACATGGAATGGAGCAAGATCGGCGCAATTAAAGCACGCAGTGCACAATAGCAGTGGCATAAGTAATAACGGTAGCTTGTGAAATTTCATCTCCATTCGTGTGGTAAGACTTTAACGAGACAGTGGAAATTCTAAAATTTTAATCTACAGATATCTAGGATTCAAGCTTGATTCAAGTTTCTTTCGCAAACGTACTTTAGCATTAAGATAAAATGAACGTTAGGCAAAAATTCTCGGACCCTCTTACATTTCTCTCCGGCGATGAGATAGATAAAAAAAGAAATGGGTAAGAAAAAGAAAAAAATATTTTACACTTTTGATAGTTTCATGGTAAATTATTTAACACGATCGGTCTAATAAAACTGTTTACTTGTTGCTCGCGCTAAAATGCGAAAATCGATATTGAAATTTCCCTTGGCCGGAATTCGGACATTGATAAATCGCGCTTCGTATTCCGGCACGCGTCGGATTTCGAAATAAGCGTTTATGGACGGTCGTTTTTAACAATAGCCGGCCGTTTCGCCGGCTAATTAAAATTATCGCGTGCGAAGAGAGCCGGTAACGCGTCGATTTCAATGGCCGGTACTCGATGCCGAACCGTGTCGTTGCCCCCGCGTTTTGCAAATTTTTCTATGCAAACGAAGCCCGTTGTCGAATAATACGCCGACTGCGGCGCGTCCTCATTGAGATTCCACATAGCAATAATCGGCCGATACAGTCGACTATTTTGCCTCGACGACCGCATTGTAAGCGCAATAAAGTATGCAAAATTTATCGGCGCGCGCGACCCCGCGCGTCTCCTCTTCCTCCTTGCTTTCTCTCTGTCTCTCTCCTCTCGCGGTCATGGCATAAATTATTATTGCATTTCGCGAAATAGTGGGTCGCCGGATCAACCATCGTTTTATTTATAACGCGCGCGTCAACAGCGCGCGCGTCTTATCGCGAGACCGCCGAAATTGCGTAACGATATTCCTCTCGCGAATTCGCCGAGATATACTGACACGATATCCATGACGATAGAAATGTTTGTTGAGGAGAGATATGAAAATATGTAGAGTAGAGAGAAACATACTCTGTTGCGGGAGATTTGGCCAGTGAATAAAACGCAACTAAATATCAATTGACCGTATCGTCAAGAGTAATATATGGTCGCACGCGCGCGAATTGCGTATATATTTCAGAGAAACAACTTTCATATCGTCCATATGTCGCGGTCCATAAACGTGCGCCAAATAGTTTGATGCGCGTCGCACTCGCGAAATGCGATTCTTCGGTGTGTACTACACCGAGTCCTTTTTGCGAGATTTAAAAGAGACACGAACGTATTACTGTCCTCATTTGTTGTTTGATGCGTCGTTCGACTCATCGTTCTAGTGTGCACACGACCTGATTCACGCCGAATCGCAATAAAGCGCTATTGGGTCGTTAAAATGAAACGGAACGGTAACTAGGCGGAATCAACGGCGGAACGGTCGCTAAATGTACGACTCGCGATACAAAAGTTCTGGCAATATTCGCGCACGGAGCATGCAGCGATCTTGAGAGCCCGCAGCTGCATTTAATACTCTTCGGCGTAAGTGCGAATACACCGGGGGACTTGTCGCGAGTGATAATCGCTATCAAAAACTCTAATTTTCGCATATGTACGAAATTGCATTGAAACACTTTCGGAAAAAAATGTAACCAATCCTTTTATATCTGGTCATAGGTTATGCAAGAATGAGTGACTTCTGCGAACGATTGCGCAAAGTACACCTCATCTCTCTTACCCCTTTGCCGGTAATCAAATTTTCATCTTCACTTTTTTCGAAACGTTTGGCTTGAATCATCCTTCCATAACTACACACGGCCTTATTATACACGGCCTCACGAGTGTTTTTCCACAACCGAGAGGAAAATATTTTAACGTTCGAGGAAAGAAGTCTAGTTGCAAAACGTCATTTCCCAAGATCCCATATTCTAAGCGAAAGCTCTTGCCGCACGAAAATCTCTCTCTTCTAACCAAGTCGACTATCAATCGGAAATCTATTATTTCAACTTTTTTTTCTTGTGTCAAGAAAGGAACATGTTTACTTACTGAAGCAGAGAGAATGCCCTCTTATTAGAAGAAATTTTTATCAAAAATAACACTTATACTGTACACTGGGAGAAAAAATGTCGAAAAAAATATTTATTCGGTGTGAGTAACATATATATTAATATATATCTCTTATACTAATATAAAATATATTTCAAATAAGAAAATAGACATATCTTCTTAAAAAAGCTTAAAAGGACCTTAGCATAAGTAAATATGTCGTTAGTATCCATCGAGAATAAGTATTTGCTATTTCTTAGCAAATTTTTTTCTCTTAATCTAAATGAAGGACAGAATTCCCCCAACTTGAGAAAGAATATTTTCTTTCTTTTTGGTTTTAGAAAAATCCTCTCGAGGATTCTCACATAGAAGAATCTCCGTTAAGATTCTATAGTATATTGAGTATATTGCAGGGATCACATTATTATGCACGGTTGAGTGAAAAATGCTAGCGCGATCGCGATATTGAGTGATATATTTCGTTGCAAATTATTTCGGCGAATTATTTTTTTTTCGCGATAAGTCGTTACACGGGTCGATAGGTATGTCGCCGCGTACGTTTCATTTCCCAAATCCAAATCATGAAAACGTGATTTCGCGAACCACCGCGACACAACATGTGGCTCTAAAAAACCATTATCTCTGAATGCTTGACGAATGATTTTTCTTTCTTTTTTTTTCGTTTTTAACAATCAAACTGGCATTTACACATGTTTTAAATTCATGCATTATCGAGCGTACTTTATCGCGCGTGTCGTTGTTGTCGACATTCCCAAAATGAAAAGCAGATTCAAGAATTACATACGAAAGCATCATTCGCGCATATTACAGCCCGTACACCTTCAATAAGTAAGAAATCTGCGAGAACTCTCGTCCTTTTAATATTAGCTTCATTCCTTTCCAGATATGGACAGAATCAGGCAGAATCTGTTGAACTACTTCTGGAACATACCCAATCCCTTGAACATCAAGGTTCCCGAAGGAGCAAACACAACTTCCACCACTAAGGTAAGCGACCGACAGGCGCGTTTCGCAAATACGCGATCTTTCTCTCACGCCGTTCCTCTTTCGTTTACCTTTTTCCTTCTCGACCGACTCGGTCGAGCGAACACAATCGCCCATTCTTCCACTCCCCACGAATCTCTTTCGCTTTTTAATTTATAATTTATTCGGCGAGATTCTTCAAAGTTTTAAGAGATCGCTGAATGTTTTAAACGCGCGAAACATTGATCTTCCGCTAAGAATGTAAAAGTTTCATCGCCAGTCTACCCAGTAGACTGTAGGTTTATTGTTAATCGATAAAATTATCACGCCGCTTTCTCCTATCTCTCTCCCACCACCCGAAGCTGGCGATCCTGCTCCGTTTTTCGGAGCGCGCCGCATTTAGATATTTTTGCCAGCAGGATCGCCAGATTTCGAACCGTTGGTTAATGACGCCATGTCACAAAGAGCAAAGTAAAATAATCCCGGCGACACGCGAGGAAACTCTACCGCCGGACACGTCGCGCGGATAATGCATCGCCAGCAATTTACGTACACGTGTAAACCGCGGCAACGCGAGGACGAGAAATAGAGAGAGGGAGAGATCGCAGGGGAAGTTGGGGTAGGATCCCTTTAACAATGGGATGGCAACGCCAAGTGTACGGCGTTGGTGGTGATCGGATTACTGCATTTCCCGTCGCGTATTGTTACACGCTCGGAATCTGCGCGCCGCCATCTCTGATATGTAAGTCGCTTAACGCTTAAATGCGACTTGCCGCACAAAGCGCGACTAACGGAAGCGGATGACTACCCGCCGAAAAGTTCGCCGAGCTTGTTCTCTCTCTGTCTCTCTCTTCCTCTCTCTCTCTCTCTCTCTCTCTCTCTCTCTCTCTCTCTCTCTTCCTCTCCCTTCCTCTCCCTCTCCTTCTCCCTCTATTTCTCTCGGCCTTCTTTCTCAGACACTGCGCTATTCTCACGTAAAACCCGTCGTTTGCACGCGAACATTCTCCGCCTAAAGCAGAGGCGGAGGCAAAGAGGCAAAAGGCGAGAAGGAGTGGGAAGTTTATTCTTTTCTAGGACAATACACGTAAGAAATAACAATTCCTCTGAGGGACAGTGTCTTCTTTTTTCTAGCACAATAGATTTAAAAATATAGAAATCAAATAGATAGTGGAGAAGAGATAGAGCATAGAGGAGTCGGGACTTGGGACAATCGAAAGATGTGATTTGACTTTCTTCCGAGAAAATGTGTAAATATTGAACGAAACTTTGTTAACTGCGCGTTTTTACGTGTGTGGTAACGTTTACGTGTGTGGTAACGTTTTCATAGAGAGTACTTTTATATATGTGTGTGTGTGTGTGTGTGTGTGTAACTTAATGGACCAGTTCTAATAATTTTGATTATAGCGCTATCTCTTTTTATAACAGAACGAGTTGCCGCATTACATTCCACCGACACGTTTAAATACGTCTAAACTCACGTAACAGATGCAAATCCTCCGTTAATGAAGCTTCATTAATTTTGAAGTTGCAATTTCCGGCTTGTATCTTATGTTAACTTCGTGAAAAAAGAAATCGCTAAAACGGATGAAATTATACGTTCGATCTGATTTCAGATCGAAAAGAAGAAACGGCTAAATGATAATCGAGTTTTCATCATTAAAATTTTAATAATACGAATAAAATTGAATTTCCATAAAATTTTAATAAATTATAATGAATAGCTGAAATAATGTATTTTTATAACGATTAAGAGGTCAGGTGCTACGAAAATTATCATCAATATTTTAAATACTCATTAGATAACATGCGCATTTAAAAAAGCGCTACCTAATCTTTTTGAGCAACCACGAGACAAAATAAATTGTTTTCTTTTTTAATCCTTTAAGGCTCAGACATCGATACCGTTCGAGTCAAATTTTTTCTTTATAAAACAGCATCTTAAAAGATGCTCTTGACGAAAAGTTTTGTAGTTCAAATAAAATTGACTATCGTAAAGTACGATTTTTTGAACGTATATAATTATGTGCAATCATGTTTGCCTACAGAAGTTAGTTTAAGGCTTCTGGTTCCACTGCTGTGGTGGAACCCTGATCCAATGACGTCAGAATGGAGGAAACGCAAGAATTTTTGATATGCGCTTTCTCGCATCTACAGACATCACTAGATCAAGGATCCGCAGCAGTGGCACCAGAAGCATTAATAAACCTTACAACTATGACAATGAGCATGAAAGTGTCACTCTTGTACTGTAAGATGACATTGATAAAGAATTGACAAAGAATAAAGAATTGATAAAATTTCCTTCCTTTTTTTCGTGGAAAAAATTGTACACACAATTTTGAGCATTGACGATTCTGTTCCGCACACGATCGACATATCGGCTTTTTCAGCGGGAAAATCGCTATTTGGGGTGAATAATATAGTTCTAGGATGGATCGACAATATTATATCAATGGAATCGTTATTTTGCCAAAATAAGTAGTTTTGGAAGAACTCAAACTTGAATGCACATGACAATCATATCCACTGAGTCTTAAAGAGTTAAAAAGAGTAACATTTTTCAGAAAATTGAAGACGCAAGATTATCTTTTCTTTGTCAGAAGCAAAGTCTTTTTGAGCGATACAAAGCGAAATAAAATTTCTTCCTTCTGTAATAAATATGTACGATACATTCCCTCACTCGAAACGGCCAATCAAATTCGCGTCTAAAGCGTTTTCTACTTGCAGATCATTGACGGCCACGTGGTAACGATCAACGAGACGACGTATACGTCGGGCGACGACACCAGCGGTACCGCGTTCCGCATCCGCATCATCGACGTGAAGCCGCAGGACGACACGGTGCCGCCGATCGGCAGCGATGCGAACACAATGTCGCCGAGGGCGACAGAGAATCCGGGAAGCGCCGAGACGGTCGAGGACTTCAACAATGAGATACCGAAGAACGGAGGAGACACATTGAACGCTTAAAAACGAGAAGGAAAACGAGAGAATAGAGGGAAGCGCTCATGTCGGCGATATACGTGCCCGGCAACGTAGTATAGTATCGTGGTCGACCTGGTCGCGATCCTCGACGGATGTAGTAGAGTAATATTTGATGCGATATGAGAGCGCATCACGTTAAAATAACGATATTATTGTAATAGTTACGTTTCCTTTTTTTTCCCGTTGTTTTACTATCGCTTCTCGCGTATCGATACACTACTGTCGATCGGTTTACAGTGTTTGCCCGCGCTCTAGAAGAATTACTGTCGCTGAAAGAACTGGAATATTGTGAAAATACACACACACACACATTTATATATATATATATATATATATATATATATACACACACATATATACACATATATATACACACACACACGAGTGTGTGCATGGAAATATATAAATAATATATACAGTGAAAAAAATGATTTTTTTTTAATTGAGAAAATCAATTCGTTTAATTCAGTTTTAAATTATTGAGAAATATTAATTGCCCCGTTATCAGTGGAATTTAATGTTCAGCGTGCGTCTCCAATAACGGGATTCGGTATTAGTGAACATGTTGCAAAGAGGCTTGTTAGCGCTCTCTGGAAATAAAACGTTACGTTGGAATTTTTTTACGCTTTCCAAATTTCTCTCGTGTTCAGAGAGATCCTTCCTGATTTATAACATTTACACAGAAATCTGCATATTTAATTTCGATACGACTTTAACGAATTGCATTCTACAAACTAGTTGAAATCATTGCTAAACTGGTATCCAACGAACGCGTATACGTTACATATATGAGTGGACGTTCGTTTGTGTCATTTTCTCTCATACTCGAGCGCCGCTCAAAGAAGGTGAAAGCGTCGACACGCAAAGCCAAATGCGTCACCACAGAGTTCCTGCGTTGACAAAGATAATTATTTATACAGAAGGAGCTATTTTGTAATAATATCGACACAGCGCTCAATTAATTACACACTGAGAGAAAAAAGAATGATCGATCTAACTAAAATTATAATTATTCTCGGCTCCAGCCGTATTTCTTTTTGGTCGTTTCAACACGGAAATAGTAGTAGTAACTTGCATATAAGATTATTATTGTTAACGCACGAGTAATAAAATTAAAAAAAAATGGTTTCTTGATTATAATATTTAGTTGTTTCTATAGAATTGAATAGTTACAAATACAAAAAGAATTTTTTTTTCAGTGTATCGTTCATCGAGCGTAACATTTATCTGATCTTAGGCGCACCAGATTTCTCACGTAAACGCTCGTTACGTGCCGTACGAGACTAATTACAAATGCGAGCTAGACGACTAAATTGCTGGTTATAGTCGCATTATGACTTTCAGTTCCGTATATCGCGCAACGACGCGGAGGATTGTTGTCCTACGAGCGATTGCGTGGTTGATATTTAATAAACGTATGCTTCCTACGTATATTCTATCCTCAGATATTTCATCCTCTTTCAGTTTCTTCGACAATGGGATCTTCAGCAAAGCACACTACGTTAGACAGTATGTGTCAGTTATATGCGATCAAGTATTTATACGAGTGAACGTTCGTAAACGATTTACAAAAGTAATAGCGGCTTCACGGAAAATTCGACCCATGCTTCAGTGAATCTATTATAAGTTTATACAAAAACATGTACGTTTCTTTCTGTAGTATTACATATTCGTGAATTTTAATATACTTACAGATGTATCTCTCCTATATAAAGTAAGTCATATTGTAAGCTGGTTAGAAAGAGAGAGAGAGAGAGAGAGAGAGAGAGAGAGAGAGAGAGAGAGAATATTATTGATTATTATCCTGATAACACACACACACACACACGTGAATATCATCTCGTGTGCGCGCGATTCGCGTGTCTCCGAATTGAAATGCCACGCGACAATCTCGAAATTTTTGCGTCCGACAATTCGCGGACAGTCACGGTCGATGGAAAAACCAAATTAAATTTTCACTAACGCAGATACGCATGTTTCATATTTAATAGGAAGCACGCTTCTTTCGCCGTCGTATTTTCCTACATCTAGTAAAATTAACTCCCAAAGCCGTATTTAATTTTCACCTTCGTCACCGTCAAATCCCGCGTGTGCACGTTCCGCGAATGTTCGCTCATTCCGACTGAATTAATTTTCGAAGACATGTTAAAGTTTCATTTTCATTATGTTCAAAAGTCGCGCGTTTGTAAATTCCAGCTTGCCCTAATTAATTTCACTACCTAACAAATTTTCGTTTTTAGAAGCGACAAAGGTAAATGATCCCCTAAACCCCTGACTTTGACGATCTCCAATTTAAGAGATGATAATTAAGACATTATTTTTAAAGACAATGCAATGTCATATTATCAAAGACTTAAGAAATATTTAACAAACTTTAGATAAGCACATTGGCGCATTGAAATATGTTATACAGCTGTTACGAGTAAAAAATATGTTTCGTGTTGTCTGAAATCATCGAAAGGCGACAAAAATATTAACCTATTCATGATGATTATATGATGTTAACATGAGCAATTTTTTTATACGATTTTAGATATAGCGAGTTAGAACCTTGCACAATCGCCAGGCTACAGACAATAAGAATAGGTATTAGCCAATAGGAACAAAAAATAGAAATAATTGACCAATCCAAATTCCTATTCCCTGTTCCTATTGCCTGTTGCCTGATATTCTGCAAAGGCCTTTACTTTCATTTTGCGTTATAAAATAGTTAGCGAATTCGCGTTCGCTAAATAGTACGTAGCACCTCTGTCGTTTTATAGGTCATTTATAATGTCAGATTTGTCACACATCAGAATGCTTTTCCTATGTCCCAAGTGTATGTATCATGCGCACCCTGCCGTACGGGCAATGACCAATGACGTATATACATAGATCAAGCATTCTGTCCGCAAAGTGAAGCTAGAACTTGGCAATTTAAAACAGAGTGAGAAAGTTGATTTGTCCCAGTGAACTATATACATACTGAAAGGCTTACTGCAATGCTTCGAAGCCGGGCACGAAAAGAAAGAGATAGGTTGTTGAAGTCACCGCTTCTTTCTCTGTCTAGTGATTTTTGATTGGTTGAAAATTTCTATGCTCTCTTCTGCTTACAGATATCTTTCACAGAAATATTTCTTTCCATTTTGATTGTGTTCCGAAATTTACTGCCAGTACTGGAAATCTATAGTTTATGTCACGTATATTATAAATTTCAGAATGCAGCCTTTATAAAGAGGTTATGATTATTGTCTCTTCTAGTCGTTCAAGCCGATGTTTTTAGATCAAATAGTACAGCAATAGAAAGAGAGAAAACGATTCTTGTTTTCCCTTTCACTCGGCCCGTTACTTCCCATTTGACTAAGGCCCGGTTGCACCAATGTTATTTTGATTTTAAGCGAGAATTAAATATACGTATATCTTTATTTATTTAGAAAGAAAGACAAGGATAGATAAATGTTTAAATTTCGCTTAAAGCCAAAATAATGTTGTTGCAACTAGGCCTAAGACTAGTGGCACACAAAAAAACTTAAAACGTAAGCAGTAAGCAAATTGACCAATCACAGTCATCGATTCTTCTTACGGTCCAAGAATCAATGACTGTGATTGGTCAATTTGCTTACTGCTTACGTCTTACTGCTTAAGTTTTTTTTGTGTGCCACGGCCCTTAGTCCCGAGCCACAATAGGTGTAGTAAGCTTTAAACCTTAAGAAATTGACCAATCACAGCCGATTATTCTCCTCAAATTTGACTGTGATTGGTCAATTTCTTAAGGCTTAAAGCTTACTATACCTATTGTGGATCGAGACTAATGGCTCCTGCACACAGGACGCGGTAATGCTTGCCGCGTGGCAAAAGTTTGCGCGACAGCCAATCAATATGCTGCTTTCCGTAATAACCTTCTAGCTCTTACGGAAAAACAACATATTGATTGGCTGTCGCGCGGACTTCCGTCCCGCAGCAAGCATTACCGCGTCCTGTGTGCAGGAGCCATAAGCCTTCCAGTATAGGTTGAGTTCACTGTCAGGAGGTATTGTAACTAACTTTATATAGTTGGTAACGTTCAACCCTGTCAGAACCATAGACGTAATATATCTAGACCGAGCGTTTGTCTTTATTTGAGGAATGGGGGTAAGAGCACGTAGAAAAGGATGCATTGCGTTTTGATACCCTGCGTTCTCTCTTGTGATAAGCGTATGCGTAAGAAACGTTGTGTTACAGAGATATGCAAATAAGAGAGAACGCAGGGTCTCAAAAGTATGTATATAATACTACTATATTGCTAATAGCCCTATGCTGCCTGTAATGGTTCCTGAACACAGGACGCGATAATGTTTGCCGCGCAGAAGTCCACGCGACAGCCAATCAATATGTTGTTTTTCCGTAAGAGCTAGAAAGTTATTACGGAAAGCAGCATATTGATTGGCTGTCGCGCGAATTTCCGTCATGCGGCAAGCATTACCGCGTCCTGTGTGCAAAAGCCATAAGAGGAGCTTGTCCCAGAATGGAAGGACAGACGATGTTCGAGGAGTATATTTTGATCGTAGTGCGCAGGCGCGGCGATCAAATGATGTTATCTATATATAAAGTATTAGATGATGTTATATATATATATATATATATATATATATATATATAAAGTAAAAGTGTCTGTGCGTGACATGTATTTAACTTGGATAGCTGCTTCCTTACCTGTGTAAACTGATATTTTCACTTGTAGTTGCTTTTTCGCATAAATAGCATCTCCAGGTGCTGATGTTTATAGCATATGGTATACATAACCTATTACATGCAACTTTGTATAATTTGTATATTTTGTTTTCCCATTGGCGGATACGATATCTATCTAACGCATGCGCATAACGTTCATAATACACTCAGAAAGAGAGAGAAATATATATTTCCCGCACCGGACTTTAGCAATATAATAGTATTACATAAATATGCATTGCATGTTCAAAATGCAATGCATCCTTTTCTACGTGCCTCTTACCCCCACTCCTCAACGCTCGGTCTAGATATATTATGTCGGGTGGGACCCGATTGACCACGATACGATTGGATACAGATTGTAATAATTGGTTCGACCTAGTAATTCACTAGATAATTCTTTTCATCGGTTGGTTGTGTCCAATCGTACCGTGGTCAATCGGGACGCTCTCTATTATGTCTATGGTCGGAACTCTGGTGTAACTATAGATTTCTATATACTAACTAGACTGCTGACTCTGGGCGATGGGTTGGTGGTGGGGATAAGCGCCATATTAGGTTTGTTCGCGTCGCATGCCCCAACGTGCTCCTATTCGCTCCAACGCACTCTGATTGGCTTACGTCAACACGTGGACCAATCAGAGTACGTTGGAGCGAGTAGGAGCACGTTGGGCCATGCGACACGAACAAACCTATTGAGTGATCCTGCTGATATGTGTGTACTATCCATGTGCGCGCACCGCGTGATCAATTCACGACTACTCTACTCAGGAAAAGTATTTTCAAGTGCTTAAGGCCTTCACACACAAATTGACATAACAGTAACGTAAGACGTACCGTAAGAATTGACTAATCATGTTGAATTCATCAAAATGGTCGCCATTTTTATGAATACTCGATCGTAATTGATCAATTCTTACGGTACGTTTTATGTCACTGTCATGTCAATTTGTGTGTGAAGGCCCTTAGGGGCGCCGCACACAAATACAAGCATGCTCTCTCTTATCCCGCAACACTTAAGTGGTAGTGCGCGTTCCAGTTAGTATATATTTCAGTGGTTAATACTTACTATGTCTATGGCGGGACCCGATTGACCATGGTACAATTGGACACAGATTGTAACGGTTAGTTCGACCTGATAATTCACTAGATAATCCTTTGCATCGGTTGGTTGTGTCCAATCGTATCGTAGTCAATCTGAACGCTCCCGTTCGGATTCTCATTCTATCTTTTTCCCGCATGTAATGAGCGATAAAGATAGAATGACGCTTACAGGACTGCGTTCCAAAATTTTACTCTGTGGATAGAATACATTTAATTGACCAATTATGATAAAGAAATCCTAATTATCTTTGTTCTTATTGGTCAATGAAATGCTACTGTATGCGTCGAGTAGAGTTTTGGAACGCAGTTCAGCGCGTAAGCGCCCAAAGCGAACGCAGTCCATGTATACTATGGCCTTAGAGCATATATATATATATATATATATATATATGGAGCAGATATATATACTTGGCTCTTCGTAACCCCTTTATTATTACGAAGAGCCGAATACTCGATTGGAATTGGTCGATTTCCTTACGCTTACGATTTAAGTTCTTACGGAATTTTGTGTGCGATGGTCTTAAGATATTACTTAAGACGGCTTTGAAATAATAGCATGTTCGACTAACTCTGGGTTAACCCGTTCTGGGTTATTCAGTCTACGTTTATTGGTCGAACAAATACTTATAAACTTTATGATTGGCTAGTAGAGACTTATGACGTCATTAATTGCTCTCGGAGCGATTAACCCAGGACCAGTCGAATACGTTATGGCCGGTATTCATAGTCAGATCTTATATTTAAGACCGCCTTAAGTTTATGTTCAGGTTATGAACGGATCATTTCATTGGCTACGGAGTATCTGAAGATGAACTTAAGGCAGCCTTAAAAATAAGACCCGACTATAAATACCGGCCTATGGGTTGTAGACCGATACTAATGCATTTAAAGTGATATATTTGACGGCATTAAAGTTTCATTCAACTATCATAACAAATATAGTAAAAGATATTGTGGAAAATATGTTTGGTCAGCATTAAAGATAGAAATTATTTATGGGATATCGGACATCATACGTCAAACGCAGTGTAAATCCTCCACAATTGAAAAAGGATAATACTATCGAATATTTTTAACTGTACAATACTTGACATTCAGCGTGTAATAAAGTATTAATTTTAAAGTATTGATTATAAAGTATTAATTTTATAATTTACAACTATCTTGATGTTTTA